CCCTATAGAGGTGAGTGCAATCCACTCAATGCTGCAAATACAATATTTTGAAGTATTCTTTGATTGATCAACTAGTAAGGTTCTTTTTTCTGATTAATCAACGAAACATTTGCAGCGTTAAGTGGATCGCATCTTTAGAATATGTTCATGCATTAAAGCAAGTATAGCAACATGCATGCTTATCATTCAAGAAATCAAGCATCGTGTGATTCCAGCTTAACGAAGACCACGTCGCGCAAGTTATGTTAGTATATTGGGATATACATAACTCAAGGGAGATGACATGCTGGTATCGGAGTAGCGTAATCGATATCACCGTTCTCTTGATCGAGAAGACTTCTTTCTTCACGCTGATAACACGCGAACTTTTATCGAAGACTTCTCGATAGATAGATATGCATCGAGAAATCCTATCAATGGGGAATGAACTAAAAATATGGCGAAGGATGAAAGAGAATTCGATTGATTGTCATGTGTCGAATAGAATACCGGCGATAAACACAATTGACACTTGACTGTTTGATCGATTTTCATATGCGCCAGGAAGTCGTGTTAAATCGGAATTTCTGTATTCTTTATGAAAGTTTTCCTTTGTGACTCTTCTTATTGAAGTTTACCTCCATAAAGAGATTAATTTTCAATACCAAGCAATTCTTCGTATACACAATATACATTCTAATATTCATTTTGTATCTTACAATAAAATCTTTACGTAAAAGTCGACAGAACAGACTTTCAGTAATTTGAAGCATCTTGTATGTTTTGTATCTGCATTATTCATCGTCCGTGATGTGGGCATAATCGATAAAGTGATATGAGTGCACATAAAAGCAGTTAATAAGCAATAAAAGCTGCAGGCAAGATAAAACAGACGCTGCTCGTATGTAAGGTAAAACGGGTTGAAAACTCAACTCGCTTATAGAAACTTCTTCCTCCGCCCCTATTTTTCTTACGTCCCAGGCTCGAAAGAGTATCCCGGGGCAAGATATCGCATTTTATCTAGCGCAGCTGGATTCCAGATTCAAAACTTTTCCATATCGCATTACGCGCATGTATATATAGACGGCGTAAGGCAGACATAGCGATGCTCTTCTACACGCAAAGGGAACACGGCGCATCAATAAATATTTCATTATGTACACCGTTGTGCGTCGACGTACACGTACGTGTACATAGTACGCGGCTCGCGGCGGAACACGATCTGGCGCGACGCTTTCCATATCTGCACTTCGCAATCTCCGACAACAAAATTTGCCTGACGCCGTATATATAGGTGGATAGGTGGCTATGCGGCCAGCGTGGACGATCCCCTGCCTCCCCCCTTACCTTCAGGCGCCGGTATCGATTATGAAATTGCGCCGGATAAAGCAAATGAGATACCACCGCGACGAGCTTGGTTGGTGGTTCTCTCGTGCTCTCTCGTGAGCGCGTATCACTGATGCCCGGGCTGTTGGTTACCTTTCCGATCATATCGGCATACCGATATGCCCTCTCACACACATACACACACACACGCACACATAGGTGAGAACACACTGCTTCATCACACGCTAGTTTACGGGGATACGCACACCCCGCATGTTCACTTCGTATCAAGCCGTGTTATACGCCGCATGTTATTCGTTCCTCCTACGGCGAAGGATGGTGCAAGCCCCCTAATCGCTATTCGTCTCTATCTCGTGTTGAGCTCTAAACTACAATGTGCTCTCTCATGTGCACCGTGTCACGCTGCTGCGCCACTATAATTCCCGATAAGCGCGAAGGTCTGCGGAAGCAGGCAACGGATCGCATTATCCCGTCATTACTATTTCATCAACTGCGGAAGAATCAGGAGATAATCGAGAGAGAATACGTAGGCGAGTTCCGCCCTTATTCTTCTCTCTCCCTTTTCATCTTTCATTCTCTCTCTCTCTCTCTCTCTCTCTCTCTCTCTCTCTCTCTTTCTGCCACTGTTGATCTCTCTTAGGACCTTATCCTATTTCGAAATCCGGGGACACATCCAGCTTAAGTTCTGTCTCATCGAGCGTCAAAGTTTCAAGTGGTCCTATACATCCCTCGACTTCTATAACAGGCTTTTGGCTCGGCTATTACCGTTTAAGGAATGCACATCATGAAGTCACGATATACCACATCCCCAATAGCGAATTCAAACTTTTCAGGCACGCTCGTATCATGCAATTTTAGCGGAATGGAAACATGAAATCTCGCGCGTAGTTGTACATAGATACGAAATTTTGCCCAATACAGCTTATATAGTTATACCATGTTATGTTTGTTCTCTATTTATCGTGCGTTTATATTTATTTAACAAGTCATCCAAATATCGGAGTACTTATACTACCACCCTCTATGTTTACCTGTTAATAATTTATATTGTTACATATTAACAATATTCATGTAACCATGCAAAATTGCATACTGAAATGTGGAATATTCTAGCTCTAAATGAAGGATTATTTTCTGCTGCATTTTATCTTCTCTATTATTAGTATATCTTATTCCAATCCTCGCGGTAATTTTATAAAAGATATTTCATTCTTCAAAATGTAAAGATTCAGTACATCGAATTGAGTATGAAGTTAAGGTGATTGTACAAAACGAAGTAATTGATTTCGCGATATTTGTGAATCGACATTGTGCCAATTTCTGATTTCCCAGATAGGAAAAATGGTTTTAAAATATTCGCGGAACCCGTATAATAACGTAAAAACTGTCGGGACTTTACGATGGTCGAGAAATCTACATTTCTAATTTTTATACCGACATTCACGAAATAACATCGCCGACGATGTAGTAAAACCGGGATTTGCGGAATCTCCGTCGCGGAATGATAAATGCCGGGAATTTTTTGAAAAATTCGGATCAGCGTTATGGGAGAATTACAACAAGATCTAGGATAGTTTTTTTCCCGCTCCAAAAAAAAAATGTTAAAATATTTTCTCCCGATGAACATTCGTAAGAGTTTTTTTTGTTGTAAAAAATAAAACAACCCACAGTAGCTTTACAAATAAAATATAATTTATAAATTTTTCCTAAATTCTCAATGAGTAGAATTTATTTTAGCAAACAATTTTGTAAAATTAATGTAAACATATATATTTACCATCGATGTATCGTTTAGAAATGCGAGAATAAGATGTTTGTTTCAAATTCATGGAATACCACTCATTTACCATTTCTTGATCATTTACCATTTTCTTTCTCATGAAAGAGAAGTAAAACGTTTACGAATAAAAAGGATTGCGAACTAGCGAGCTCATGATACGTTCAGGAGTATGTGTCACGATATTGATCGACTCTTCAGCAACTGGGTGCCATTAGCCATATACTTTTTGTCTAATAGTATGAACTATCACGGCCGAGAACTCCGAAGAAAGCTTACGTTGACGACCTACTTTTAGATCGCTAGGGTGGAATCTTTTTTCCTGAATCAGGTCGATGCGAAACACGGGACTGCATGCAAGTAGGTCAGGTTTTACCCGTCTAGGTAAATGAATTATAATTATAATTATCTGTTGCAATAAAACAGTTTGCAGTGAATTGTATAGACTCGTAATTATTTCGTCAATAAATAAGAAGAGCCGTTCAATCCTTCGTGTTAGCTGGCTACGAAAGAAAAATAGTTCGTACTCACTTTATTCGATTATAAACTAGCAGCTCAGCTATCTCTCGGCCTAGCCTCGAGTATAGAGTTTCTACAAAGACCAACACTTTTGGGTCTATCCTTAATCGAGCTTCACTGCGATGGTCTGGTGCTGATGGTAGTCTAGTCGCGCCTCTCAGAGTCGAACATCGTATCGCTGGCTCTGGCCTTGTATCTCGGTGTATTAAACTGCAATAATAAAAATTATTTGTTAGTTAATATTTTATTACAATTGGTTAGGTTATATTATATTTAATAAAGAAATATGCTAGTTGTCATATAATTTTTAATACATATAAAATATATATCGTTTGTATGTGATACACAATTTTCATATTGCAATTATTTTTAATTTCAAATTATTAAAAATTGGCAATTTGCCAATAATAATTTTCAGCGTGATGCTAAGATAAGCTATATTAATATATCATACATATATATTAAGAGTCTGAAGAATTTTCGCGATATCGATCATACACACGTAACGCATTTTCTCGAACCATCTCTTATCTTTGAAGTTTTACATATTTATGAGATATTTTCTCGTTATAGAGTGAGCCTCGCGTTACTTCATGCTACATTATAGTTTTCACGATAATATCAAATGTTCTTTCAAAGAGCAAAAGGAACGTTTCGATTGGCTTCAGTCCAGAAGCAAATTCTTCCGTCAAATTCTTCGTAACGAAACCCCCGTAACGAGCGGCTCTCGAAGAATGCACGGCAGCTCTTTCAACCTGTCCTCAAAGTTCCGCTTTCAACATAGACGGATACAACGTGCCCGGTATATCCGTGCAGAGAACGCGGATGTAGCAGCAATGCAGGAATTTCGGAACGTATGCGTAGCTCCACAAAGGACCCTTTAGCGCTGCTGCAACGAGTTCTTCCGGACACCTATTAACATCGGGCATTCTGCAAGTTTCCTGGTATTTACCACGATTAAACTATCTCACTATCTGAATATATAAAGAGATAATTCTTTTTTTTTATATCGTTCGTATTGTATTTCGATATTATAAAAGATTGAAAGTCTTGTGATATCCGATATTTTTTAAAAATTCTAATTTTTAGAAGACGTTTCAAGAAATAAAAGTTTCTTTCAAATTTTTATTTTTATTACCTACATTTTTTACTTAGAGTTTTCCTTTAGATTGTAAATTGAATTCGATAGCATACAATTTTTATGTTTTATATATAGATTCAGATCATATAGCTAGATACATTCTCTTTAGATGCAGCAGATAATGGATACATTCCTTGCTGTTGAGCTCCTTTATGTTTGTCACGAGCAGATCCAGCGGTATATTATCGGCGCATGCACCAAATTAGTATGCGTCCAGCAATCGAGCTTCTCGCCATAAACCGAAAATCAAACCTTTGTACTGAAGCAGGATAAGCCAGGACCGGTCGACATTCAAACATGCGGGGGCATTTTCATAATGGAACAGCAATAACTATTATTATGCTATACGAATTCTGGTAGTCGAATTATTAATTGGGACGCAAACACGATCAATCGTTCTCATAATTTCTATCCATACATGTCATAACACTCATTGATGCGTAAAAACGTTTATCGTGCAGCGTCCCGAATTACGTTGAAATACGAATGTGGATATTACGGGTGCATGTTGATGGTTGTGTATCGAATGTAGATTAATATCATTAATTCCTAGATGTGAGAAAAAGTTGAAAGGCCCCAAAAGTAAATAAATGATAGAAGGTACATTTATAGACACGTTAAAAGAGAAGTGATATTTTACGTCATATTGCGAGCCTGAAAAATTTATGCTAAAAAGAAAGAAACATATGTATAAAAATTTTTTAACGAATAAAGCGATGAGTGGGACTGAAAGGGTCTTTGGCTTAAATGGAAGCGAAACAGATTATCGATGATGCACTTGCGCTTCGCAGCTCTTATCCACTTCGGTTTACAATTTATGCACATTAGGCGTCGTGTCAGTAGAACATACACGAAATGGGGAGCTTCGGTCGAACGTTTACTCACGTAGTACTGCTTTAGTCGTTGTTATGGAGCATTTGATGTAACTAAATTTCAAGCAAATATTTTCTCGTAACGCAATCACAGACATAAACCGTACTGTAGTAAAGGTCTTTGACGCGCATAACGATAATTCACTGTGCGAAATGCAATTATCAAGATGTGAAATATTCACGAAATTGCCCTGTAGAAACTATGTTATCTATTTGCATTCCATATAATTTGCCAAAGCTCAATGATTGATTTCCGCTTATCAAAGTTTCTCGTTTCGTCTTCAACGTGTGTTTTGCAATAGCTTTCATAAAGATATGGAAATGCTCGTAGTAGGAAACAGAGGTATTGATCGTGATATGCTCCATACACGTATGCATACACGACGATGCATCGAATGGTTCCTCTGCATTTCATGCGCGGGTTATCGATGCAATATTCTTGACATTCGTGTGTATCGAAGTCGTTTATCCATGCACACGGGATCATTCGTAAATATCGAGAATCTGCAATCCTACCCACAGTTGAGGAGAACAAGAGAGGCACTGTATATGCATTGTCTCTACTTGATAAAAGGTCGAATCTAGTTTCATCTCCATTCCATTAGATGACATTTAAATGCAACTTCGTATAAGCTTCGTACACGCTTTGCCTATCTACCAAAATGTAAATATACTACTTTATATTTATGTCTCAATAATTTATGACACCTTAGATTCGATTTGGAAAATTTAATAAAACGTTTGCATTTCAGAAAGTAAATCATATTTTTATTGATAAAAATGTTGTATTGTTTCTACCAAAACTAAACTAAATTAAACTCAAACATTACATATTGTCTCAAAAGAAATATATTTATGATAATCAAGTATGGCGAGAATTGACTAAGTAAAAACACGAATAAACTTCTGGATTTAGTAGAGCATTTTCAAAAAAAAAAAAAAATTGTAAGAATCAATCTATTTCTTATGTTATGACTGTCAATGTGAGGTTTAGTATCTCATATGTAAATGGGTTTCAACAATAAACAACAACAGTATCGCATACACAGAGACATAAAATCTGACAATACATACAAGTTACAATACATACACATTGCGCGGATCCACACATACGTAGAGGCTTTCAAGTACACGGGTAATCTGGGACGCGAGAGATACGATGCACCCTCCTATCGCGCATCAGCCGTGGCCGCAAGTAAGCCTATTAATGCGCGACGTTATTAGAGGATACTATCTGACCTACATTCCAGGTCCCTATCAGTAACAGGCGTGCGTAGGCATCCTTAACACGAATTTACGATAAGACCGTAGGTTCAGATGCATGCTACCAAACTGTTTGAACTTCTGAGCAGGGGGATCGATCGTACAATTGTTTAGGGAAGTATTCAATCAAAACGCTCCCATTATTCTATCGCAGATACGATTGACTTGAGAACGATGGGCGAGCTTCTGACACATTGAGAGTAAATGGAAAGTCGATTTCGATCAGGATTCACAAGACTTACTGATTATACAGACATGACTTCGCAGACTGTGATTGGAAAAGATCGGTACCGCGTTTGTTTGTCAAGTAGCAACGTTAGGTTCAAACCCCGAAAGAGATCTATAACAGCGCAAAAATGTATACAATATTGCTTTTGCAATCGAAAGCTTCTATTTCCCGTCGGAATCTCAATATCATAGTTTTTCGATAAGTCCTCATATTCGACAAGACCCATATAGATGCACCTATCGATATTAACCATAGGTAAAAACATGCAACTGTGGATATTTTGCAAAGTCTATGATTGCAAAAAGATAGTGTACATTTATTTGTCAGAGTGAGATTGCCGTATCGTTATCACTGTTTTTTCCCTAACGTCAGACGCACAATTTCCAATCGACCAGAAACTATAGTCAAAACACGTGCGATATTTACGGATACAAACATTTTTCGTTAAATTGTATAAATAAGCAAGAAAAAGTTGTAAAAGGACATCGTTAGATGAGCTTAGATCTTTGTCAGTGCGAGTTATCCAAATTTACGACATTGTCCACTCTTAGATCAGACTTTTGTTCATTTTCTTATAATTAAGTAGGTGCTCTTGTGTAGATCAAACTTTTGTTAATTTTCATTAATCATATAATTAAGCAATTACGAAGAAGCTATAACTATACAAGAACGTCATTAGACGAGTTTAGATCTTTATTAAATGCGAGTCATTGAAGCTTACGGCGCCGTCTATTATACTCTTAAGACTTTTTTATCTTCCATCAACTTTCCGTCGTGTTAAGTGTAACATTACAAACCTTCAAGAAGAAGCAATCACACGAGAATTGCTTTTCACAAATCAAGCTGCGCCAGCTTCTCTCCATCCTCATCATTTTAGTAGGACTTTTGTGTGCTGTGACGAAAAAAAAAGGAACTCGTAACGGCAGTTTCGACACCGTCTGGTACTAATAAACGTCGTTATGAGAGAGAGAGAGAGAGAGAGAGAGAGAGAGAGAGAGAGAGAAGAAAGAAGAAGAGAAAAGACACCCTTCTTAAAAAGTAATTTTAGATTACGACCGCCATTGTCGTCTATCGACAGCCGATTAAATTACAGTGGAGAATCGCTCTCGACACAAGGGAACGGTAACGAAACGGACGAGGGAGCTCTCGAATTACTATGTCGTATAACGGCTCGTACTTTTCGCGCGGATAATCGAGTTACGTCCGATGCGTCTTTATGATCCTCTTTCGTCTCCTTATTGCTTGGCTATGACAGGACTTTGCCGGCACTTTTCGTCTCTAACCAGTACAAGTGTCGTCTTCTTGCCCTTTACGTAGTGTTTTTATGAGGTACCTTTGCCAACTCGAGAAGAATCGCAAGGAAATTGACAAACGTCTAAAGTCATACATTTAGAAAAGCTGTCAAAGCGGTATCCGTAGAAAATTCGCGTACAATATTAAATGCATTCGCAAAACGAGAATAATCAGCGTAGTTCTGTAATGAGAATTAACGGTATCAAAGAAAATTACAAAAGTATTCATTCTTTTATCTTTCACGCTGCAGAACAATATTCTTTCAGTTTTTTTTTTCTCTTGCTTTAAAAGTTACGAGTTTATTCAAAGTGCTCATACATTACTAACGCTCTGTATTTACGACATTCGTCAATGCTGCATCCGCATTTTCGCATTTAACGTACTCGAAACGTCGAGTTAACTGCTCGAGTAG